TCAAGTTGCTTTCGCATACAATCGAAAATGTTCGTATGTATGTTTAGTATCACTTCAGCACCATATTATTTGCCAAAGATCAAGAACAAAAAATCCGCCATCCATTAACAGCTCTTGAAACTCAGTATTTTCGCCTATTTGATCAAGCACTGATATAATATAAATAATAATCAACAACCTCAGAGCATCGTTGAGCCGTGTTTATTAATAAGAGAATCAGATTAGTTCAGTCATATTATTTATATTTTCTTTATACAGATTAAAATATACTAATATTGTTTCCAGCTTATACAGAATCAAATCTGCGAGGGGGAGAATACAGTACTTATCAGCTAAAATATATAATTTTGCATGTTCAAGAAAGATGGGGGTAAAATTCTCTCAAGAATAAGAGTTCTCTTTCAAAGCAAATATATCTTTCCGAGCTGATAAAGCATAATTATACAAGTTTGTATATTATATACTGAGAGTTTTAAACTTATCTTGAAGATACTGTGTCCAGATACTCTTTTCTCTATATAGTAAAGTATAACCGCTGAAATAAGTACTTGACTGCTCTGTCTCTGGCGTTGCCTCTGTCTTAAGTTTATTTATAATCTCTAATTCAGTCGGAGTTTCTGATTCAGCTGATATATTTGATATAGCTGCTGTCTCTTACTTTGTTGCTGTATTTATTACTGTATTACTAGTCTGATTAGAGACTTGCTCTGCTTCTTTAGCTTTCACAGAGATCCGGTGTCAGATTCTATATCTTTGCTTGTTTTTTAACTGTGATGCTAGTAAAGAGAACAACTCACTATTAATATTATCTTCAGTTTCAGCTGGTGGCTGTGGGATTTCTCTCTTCGAGCACAAGGGCGGCGTGTAGTCGCGCGTATAAGTGTACTTATACAGCAGAACAAATATTATTTTCTCGATCCCTGATCAGTCAGCTTGATGTTTGTTTGCCTTCTGTATTTTATTATTTATAAGATTATTAAGAGAAGAAGATAAATTAATCAAAAATCTAGAATGCATCGTAATCTCTTTTCTTTTCTGGCCAATTACAAAGATAAAAAGGGAGGACAAGAGGTATCTGGTCAGATAAGCTTTTTTCTATTAAGTAAAATACTGTATTTGCGAGTGACTTACTTGCTGAATTCACTGTTTATTGTTTGATATAGTAAGCCTAATGGTTTTGAATTGAATTACAGAGGAAATAAGAGATTTAATAGGGAGTTGAGGGTAGGTTGAAATAATCTTACAATACTTTACAGAAAGCTACCAGGGCGATAATGATGACTGACATTCTACGTCACTTGGAAGTGGCGCAAAGTAATAGCTTGGTAGAAACGCGATAAATAAGCATTTACTCGTCCATACATTGCAGGAATGTACGCATTATCCTTGGTTTCCAGTTGAGGTCAGACACAGACTATCACCTTGCTTGATTTGATCTCGCCTAATGAACTGATATTGCAACACAAAGATGACCTGTGTAGCCTAAGATAAGTAAGCTGTAAGCGCAGAGTAGACGGGCGCCCGGGTGGGGGGCAGGCGCCTTGGCATGGAGTCTTTCTTACTGACAGCCAGCCATGCGTACAGATTGTTACAGAAATTGCCTACGCACCAATCATTAAGCACTGTTGTATTACCTGTGAAATGAAAAACGGAATGGAAAATACCGTAGGGCGCTTTAGATGATGTGAGGTGTACTATACAGAAGCCAAAAACCATCTCAGCACATGTATTCAGAAGATGCACGTGGCGATAAGAAGTTTTCATCTGTGCAAGGGTAGTGTTCGACTTCTCTATAGTTAAAGATACAGTGGAAGGAAAGTAGACTGCGTAACTAATGTCTCTTTGTCATCCTATGATTAATGCCTGATTACTGCCTATACAGGCTTAGTGAGGCCATTTCTGCCTGGCAAATTACTACTTGAGGAGGCGGTCAATTAAAACCGCTTGGGCCAACTTAGGCCAGTACGCAGACTACTTTCACGGGACTCTACGTAAAAGTGATATAATAATTTCGTCTTTCACATATTTCAACTTAGCATGGCTGGATCTCTTGCAAAGTTCCTGTCAACTCTGTGAGTTCACCCACGTCTTTTGAATTGTTACAACGAGTCATATCTATGTGCTCGCCAGAGACATTGGAGAACTTCCACAACTTTCTCACTATCAGGGAGGCAACCCAAATCTGCAGCCGTTTCCACAGCGATATATGGCAGCCTGGATGTCAAGCCATGTGGAGCGGTGTGCCCCGTAACTTGGTGCAGACCTGGGCAGATCAACACGGTATGCAGACGTTGACAACAGTTATGGGGCCGCTGATGGTTCATGATCACGCACAGTGTTTATGGTCCCGAAAGTCAAGCAAAGGGTGGAGTCGATATATGAAGGGTGCATCTGCTATGTACGCCTATCATATTGCTAAAGATGGAGGACTAGTTACTGTCCTAACACCGCCACCTCCTGACCTATATAACCCTTTCGGCGGATCAAACTACCAAATCGTGGAGGAGCCAATCCTGAAAGGAAATTTAGGGCCAAAAGTCTTGAAAATTGAAATGGTACATCCGAGTATACCCGGCGCCGAAGACTTTCACTACCAGATATGGCCGAACAACGAGACAACCTTATGGCATGACCACTTTGGGTATCCTCCTCCAGCTACACACTGGCGACATGCTGTGCAACGGCGAGCGTCACTTTGAGTCCGTATTTCGATATCGGAATTAACATGATGCGGTGGTGGTTTGTCTCCTGGACGGGATTAATTCTCAACTGAGTTGGATGGTTCTGTCCCATGGCATCATGGTATGACGAGCTTAGGTTTCAAAAATGATCCATTTGGTAGCTACTGACAAAAAGGTAACTTCAAAACGACTTGAAAGCAGTACTTGAATCCAGGAAATATTGCTCTGACTCATCCTCCAATTAAGAGCTCTGGAAACTGAATTTTGTTGGTTGCTCAACAATCATTGCCTGTAATTTAAAAGGAATTCGGAATTGTACTTATCAGCATTTGAGAAATCAACTTACCAAGATTAGCAAATGATAGGTCTTATTGTATGATGAATCATTTCTAATGGATAGTGAAGTCGACTCACAGTAGCAACAAATGGATCATTCTTGAAACCTGATAGTTCAAGCTACAAGCACTTTGGTAGCTCTAAATAACTGAACGCGGGCTCGAGTGCAATGACGTCTGCCGAGAATGCCCTCGCAAAGTATGACATCATGGATTCTGCCCAATATACATGTATTGTACAAGGCATTTTGAGGCCAACACTTGGCCTACAAATTGAGGCTACAGGACTTTTTTCACAAGGTTTGCCAGCTTTGAATTCTTGTATGATGATCTTGCTGAATCTAGCAAAGTCTAAAGCCATGGCGGGTTACACATCAAAAGTACCAGTTCACGCAATGCTCCGCTAGATGGACGGGTGAAATCTCAGTTAGCCAACGCAGCCAAGCGGATATCGTGTTCTTTTCAGACTGCCACACACAGCTTAGCTAAGCTATATTTGTGCTGTGCTCGTTTAAATGTTTTTCCTCCCCGTGATTCATGTACCAGCTTGCTTTTTCGCGCTCAGGGTTCTATGTTTTTCCAAGCTTTGATATGATCTCAATGCTAATTCGAGTTTTGAATGTTTGTCTGCCTATGACAGAAAATAAAAAATTTGTGCTGTGAGTTTGAGCCCATGTCGATACGATCATACATCCTTCTGAAACACACGACCGAAAACCTACTATATGTCGTAAGTATAAGGGTGCGTGTTGAGGTAGTGTGAAGAAAGTATATCTATCGCGAAGTCAAGATAGTGTCTGTATTGCTTAAAGTATTGTCGCTAGTCTTCTATCTAGCTTCTCTCGCGGATAAACATATCCGCGAGAATTCTGTAAGTCACGTGTTATACTAGCGTGATTACTTCGCGAGGGACCACCTCCGCAGCATGGGCATTCCTCGCGATATATTATATCGCGAGGGTTATAAGGATTACTATCCTTACAGTAAGTCTATACATGGATATTTTGCTGATTATCCTAGTCGCTGTAAGATGTAGAAGCTGAAGCAACCCGGAACATGAACTCTCAGGTTCATGGGGTGTGAGTTATATAGGTCTGAATCATCTCAGCAGAAAAGCTACAGCTTTCTCTTGCCCAGCGTAAGAGTGCCACAAATCGCAAGACTTATAGCTCGATCTCTGCTTAAGTGGGCACCACTCCACATGACAAGCTGGAAATTGCGAGCAGTAAGAAATCCTTTCAGATTACAGTCTGAATTTGTTTTTTTTTTTTCAGAATAACATTGAATCCGGCCTTTGTCTGCTAGCTGCTGGTTGTAAACGTCTCGCATTGTATTCTGAGATGCCACCCTTGACTATGATAGAGCAGAAAATTGTACGAAGGATGCTAGGGAGCAGAAGGTTGATAGATTCAACTAGCTAGGGGCGGCTGCCTACTTGAGGTGCCGGTAGAGTGGCTAACGGCCAGGTCAGGTCAGGTTAATTGGAATTTTTATACCTAACCGCCAGGTTATGGTCAGGTTAAGGAAATTTTTATACCTGACCGCGGTATAGCTAAAAACCGGGCGGTTAACCGTCTTAACCGTTCTTGGCGCCAAGACCTACCCGCTATACCTTTTTAAGCTCTAGCACGGTTAAGGTATACCCAGGTTAAACGGTTATTAACCTGGCCATCTTCACCGTCGCCTAAAAGTATATAAAAAGAAGCTTTTTAGATTAAAAAAATATAACTGAGAAAGAAATTAGTATCTTCTTTATCACTATTCATCGGAAATAATAAGGAAATCCTAGTTGTGTTGATAAAATTCAGCTTTTTATAAAATTATTGTTCTTACAGCGAGAAACATGTGTAAAGATATATAATTACCGCTCCGTTTTAGCCGTACACCTTAATCATATCATAGAACACTAGAAAAACCATATATTAACTACTAATTAGAATACTGGGAATAAATATACTGCTTCTATTCTACTATTTCTCCTGGGTCAGGCTATTCTCAGGTTCATAGACAAGATGTAGCTCGAAGAGCTACCAACAGGATCAGGAACTGGCAGGCAGTTAAGGAGGTTGCGGACAGTCGGGTTGTTGGGGTAGAGCGGGTCAAACAGGTCAAACAGGTCAAACAGGTCAAACAGGTCGAACGGGTAGAACAGGTAAACAGGGTACACTAGGTCTGCACTGTGATACTACAGCTCTTATAGAAGATCCTGTAAAAGCCTTTTGCAGACCTCTCCTATGAATATCTACTTTCTACCCTAGTCTATTATGCCTTAAGCAGCTCTGTTTAAGAGAAGGGACTATTCTATAACTCTGGGCTCCAGATATGAATTCCTGCTTGCTAGGCCTACTGAAATGAATAAGATACAGCGGGCGCCTCAGCTGCATGTTAAAATATGATAGATCACATTTACGCGAAGTCGTGTCTTGAAGCAAAACAAACTGCCTTTGCAGAGTTTTCTGCTTCTATCTTTCTATATCTATTATTTGCAGAACAGCTTCAGAATCATGAGTCAATTGCAGTCATCTGGTTTATTTTCAGAGAATACTATCGAGCCTTCTTCTTCCGTTTCTCAGATCTTTACAAACCATGATAATGCCCAAACTGAGATAAGCTTCTCAAGTCAGATCTTTCCTCCTCCCCCAAATCTCGAGATTACACGCGTCGCGAGGAATCGGAAGATTGTCCCATATCCAGCTCTCCAAGAAAAGCTCCCTATTTTCCAGGATTGGTGGCAGGAGACAACCTTTTCTAAAGGCCGTACACGAGCTAAAAAACCGCCATTTCACTTCGGTCGGGAAAAGTCATCAACAACATGGGACAGCTTTCAGGAAGGTGCATTGTTCCCCGATGGAACCCCTTACATCTACTGTATTGCATGCCTTCATATCTTGCAACACCCGGGAATTGAAAACTCAGGAACTAGTTCTATTAGGAGAACTAGTCTTACCTGAGTCTTCGACTACCACACGTACTCAGGTAGAGATAGAGACCCGGCCTTTACGATTCCTACGCCATCATGATCACCGTCCCGGACAGTATAAAGAATAAATATTCTGTATCTTTTCTTATTTCTTCTATACTAGGTTCTGTAAAAGCCTTTTCCAGAGTGTAGTATATCTCTTAACGCGACCGGTTGAGCAGGTCGAGCAGTAGGCTATATCTAAAGAATATTACCATGTCTATACTGTAATTAAATATATATTACACTTTGTATATTATCTATGTAAGAAGGATGTATATATTACGAATTAACCTGCGGTTATTAACCTACCTGCTATACCTGACCTTCCTGACCGGCAGGTATAAACGGTTATAGTGACGGTTGTACCTTAACCTGACCTTAACCGTACGGTTAAAAATTTTTTATACCTTAACCTGACCGCCAGGTTATGGCCAGGTTAAGGTTAAGGTATAACGGTCAGGTTAAGCCACTCTAGGTGCCGGCAGGGTATTAAGTTATATGACTAATAATATAATATTATATAATATAATTTAATATCTCTTTGGCTTGAAATTCTGCAGATAATATAAAAAAATAAAGCTAAAGTATTTTCTGAACAGTCAGTATCTGAATAATATATTTAATTTTAATAAAAAAAATATAATAATAAATTATTTCTTAAAATATTATAAGATAGATTCTCTGATAAGAATAAAGATATAATTATTTATTAAAGCTAATTTATTAATATAAAAATCTATTTAATTAATATTATAATATATAAGAAGATTAGAACTGTTAAATATAAAAAAAAATAAAATCTAATAATTTCTTTAAATAATAATAAATTTAAATAATAATAATAAAATAAATCTCAGAGAGATTAATAATATAATAAATAATTTTATCTATTATATAGACTATATTAGAGTATATTCTAATAATTAATTAAATCAAATATTTAAACTATTTTTAATATATTTTGATTTTATTAATTATAGCAAGATCTTTAAGATTTCTAATAATTAAGATAATCTTAAGATTACATAAAATTAGAGAAGACTTATAATTCCTAAGATTAAATTATTTTAAAATACTAAGAATATAATATTTTTATAAAATTTTAATATCTTCAGTATAATAAGCAAGATCTATATTAAAAAATTATTTTATATAATTATTATTAATATATTTAAATATCTTGTTAATTATATCTTTGATTTTTTTAATATAATTAAGATTAGATAATAATAATAAGATATTATTAATATAGATAAGAATATAAATATTATTATAAATAAATATAATATAATTTATATATATATATATAAATTCTTGTAAGATAAAAAAATTATAAAATAATATATATTATTTTTTAAATAATTATTTTAAATTATAAATAATTTTAAAAAATAATTTATAATAATCTAATTTCTTAAAGCTCTCTGAGAGTTAAATATAAAATAGCTTATATAATTTAATATTTAAAAAAATAGCTATAATATTAATACTATATAAATATTATTTAAATTTTATAATTAATATAATAAATATTTTTAGATTTATTAATTTTATAATAATTATATAGATTTTATATATCTTAAAATTCTTATTTAATTACTATTTATAGATTTTAATTATAAAATATATTTTATAGATATTATTAGACTTAATATATTAAATCTAATATATTAATAAAGATCTTATTCTCTTTTTTTTATAAATAATATAGAAGATTTCTAAATAAAGATACTATTTAATTTTATAATAAATTATATTATATTATTTTATTAACTCTTTATATAATATAATATCTAGTTATAAAAATAGAATATATTTTTTATTAGACAATTTTAATAAAATAATATTATTATATAATATTTTATATAGATTAAAATTTATTTATAGAATTATAATATATAATTATATATATTCTAGAAATTTTAAACTTAATTTCTTAATTCTTATAGATTATTAAAGAGATTAATTTAAGATTTTAATTTAAGCACTAGACTGCTTTGTATAATAAAATAAAAAAAATATTTAATAAGTTAATTTTATTATTATTAATAATTAATAATTTTTTAATTATTAATATTAATACTGAAGAAGATAACTTAGATTAAGATTCTAGAATAGAATCTATTACTGGATTAGTTATATATATTAATAAAAAAATTTAAAGTAATAATCAGAGATAGTACATTAGTTATTTTATATTTTTTAAGTTATAAAAAATTATTAATAATTAATTAATTAAATTTAATTTATAATTTTATAATTCAGGACTAAATAGAAGAATTAATAGCAGCGGGCTTATAAAAATTAATAAATTTAAATTAATTATCTTATATAAGCAGAAATTTAGATAAAATATATTAATATTTTTTAATATTTTAATCAGTAATTGAAGAATTAATTAGAATATTATTTAATTTATATTTAATATTTAAAGATAACAGTATGAAGATAAGTTTTTTATAAAAAATAATATTTTTAATTATAATAATCTTTTTTAATTTTAAGTTATAAATCTTATATAGATTTTTATTATAATTAATAAATTAATCTTTATTTATTCTAAAGTCTAATTTGTTATAAATCTTCTCTGATATAAAATATTAGTATTAATAATTAAGAACTTTTTAATAGAAGATATTAGATTAAATATTATATAAAGTTTTATAAAATATTATATTAAAAATATTATAAATAAGTCTATTTTTAATATATTTAATTATTTATATAATATAATTCTACAGAAATCTGGAAAGTTAATTTTCTATTATTATAAAAATAATTAACTTTATTAAATAATAATTCTTAATTTTAATTATTTTATTTAGAATAGATTAATAATATAGAGCAGAATTTTAAATAATATTTTTAGATTTATAATAGTTTTTTTTAAGAGACTATACTCTAATATATTATTTATATAAAGATATTTAACTAATATTTAAAATTAGATTAATAAATAATTTTATAATAAAATAAATTTCTTAAATATATTTATATAATTCTTTATTATAAAGACTCAGCAGTATTAAGTAATATAATTAATAAAAATAATAAAATAAAAAATATTAATAGAGTCTTTTATAAAGATTAATTTATAAATATTTATATAAATAAGATCTTTTAATTTAAACTTAATATCTTATATTTTCTTATTAATAAATAGAGTATAATCTTTACTTTTAAAATATAGTCTATATAATTTCTAAAATATTCTCTTTAATATTTATATATTAATTGTATATTTTATTAAATTATAAAACTTATACTTAGAGATATAGGCGGTCTGATAATAGATTAAATAAATTAAGATTAATTTTAGATTTAAAAAAATTATAGTAATAACAGTAAAAAATAAGAATTTAATAAAATTAATTTTTTTTAATATTTATATAAGATAATCAGCTTATTTTAAGATATTTAATTAATTAGAACTTATATTATTAATAATAAAAAAATAATAATAATTAATCAGAATATATCTATAATTTTTATATTTATTAATAATATTAATAAATATTATTAAGCTATTTAATTTAAACTTTATTTTAAGACTCTCTTTAATAAATTAATAAATCAAGAAAAAATTATAGATTAATATTAAAATATACTAAATATTAATAAATCTTAAAAAATTAAGCTGAATTAATTAATCAGTCTAAATAAAAAGATTAAATATAATATTATTATATTTCTAAATTTAGAATATTAAGTTTATAACTATATAGATCAGTATAATATATATATAATAATTAATAAAACTTGCTTATAAAAATATTATATAATATAATAATTCTAAGTTAATTATTTAAAAATTTAGATTCTTTATAAATTTCTTAAATTATTTTATAATATTTTAAAAAAGATCTATCTTATTAATAATAATATTAATAATAATAGATAACTTCTTAAAAATATTAGTATTAATATCTATATTATTAAAGATCTTAATAATATTAATATTAAGATTATTATAATTTATACTTAAAATATTTATTAGAATTAATTTAATAAAGATATTAGTAGCTAATTCTAGAGTATTATTATTAATTATATTAGCTAAAGAAATATTATATCTTTTATTATATTTATAATCTTTATTATAATCTTATTTATTATTTTTAATTTTAATTTTATTTTTATTATCTATTTTATAATAATAATTGCTTGAGAAATAATTATTACAAGATTAATAATAATTATATTATATAAAATTATAATTTATAAAATTAGAGATTTAAAAAATTCTAATTAATTAAAAATTAAAATTATTATAATCTCTGTTATAGTCTCTGTTATAATTATAATCTTATTTTTAATTATATAATATAATAATTATATTATCAGCAAGATAGATTAATAATATTTTCTAATTATATTTAAAAATAATAAATTCTTAATAAATATTATATAAATTAGACTTTAAGAGATTATTATAATTAATTAAGATTAGAAATTATTATATTATAGAATTATTTTATAAAATAATTTAAAAATATATAAATTTAATCTAGTCAGATAATTTAATTATCTCGTGTAAATTATTAATTATTTTAGTCTATTTTTTTAAAAAAATAAAGAAATTAATATTAATAGAGTACTTTATATTAATTATTTTTTAAAATTTAAAGAATATATTAGTATTTTTTAATATTTTATAAATTTTTTTAATCTTATTATATATATCAGCAATAATTCTTATCTTTAAAATATAAAAAAAAATATTAAAATTAATAAGTTATCGAAGTATATTTATTAAGAAAAAATTAATTTAATTTTATTTATTTAGATTTTTTATATAATTACTCTTAAACTTCTTATTATATTATATATATATTTTAGTTTTATTATAAATCTATATTAATATAACAGCAGCTTTAGTAATATTATTTAATTTTATAAAATATTTATATATAGAAGTAACTATAGTAATATAGTATTAAAAATTTTTAGAATAAGATTTATTTTTAAGAATATTTTAATAATATTAATTTTTAATTTTTAATATTTATATTGTCAACAATATGGGCAGACTCGCCAGTTCGCTGCCTAAGGCTCACCAGTTTGTGGTCTTAGGCCAGTTGGCTGTCTTAGATTATTAGTTAACAGACTGATAATTCTAAGTTCCGCCTATTCTGTAGTAAAGTAAGAGATCTTATTTTTATTAATTATTCTAGTCTTTATTTAATTACTAATTCTATTATTCTCGGCCTTGTTTTATTTATATAATTTTTATATAATTTTTATATAATTTTATATATTTTTATATACTTTTAATAGCTAATTAATTATAAATATAAATAAAAAGATCTCTTAATTTTCAATTAGTTTTTTAATAAGTTTTAATTAAGTTAAATTAGTTTTTAGTCTTTTTCTAATTTTTAATTCTTTTTATTACTTCTTTTATTTTTTTCTTATTTTTCTTTTATCTTTATCTTACTTTTATTTTATTTTTATATTTAATTTATATAAGAAAGTAAGAGTTCAGTAAAGTCTTTCTGAAAGATTAGAAAAAAATTCTTATTTAGTTATCTAATCTTTAATTTTTTTTATTTTTTTATTTTTTTTATCTTTCTCTTACTTTTATCTTATTTTTATATTAAATTTATATAAGAAAGTAAAAGTTTAATAAAATCTTCTTAAGAAAAGTTCTTATTTCTTAAGAAAAGTTCTTAGTTATAAGCCTGATTATATTCTTATATTAATTCTTTATTAATATCTCTGAGACTCTTTATATTCTTTTATTTTTTTTATTTTTACTTTATCTTTAACTTAAGATTTATATAAGAAATTATAGAACTTTTAAATAAAAAATAAGATTTATCTAAATTCTTAAATTCTTTTAACTATTTCTTTATTATATCTTAAAATTAGCAATTTAAGAAAGTTTCTATTATTCTCAATAATTAATCTGATTAGTTTTTTTGAATTAATTAAATTTAATTATTTATTATTAATAAGAATAACTGAGAATATATAAATCTAGATTTATCTGAGAAATCTAACTACTCTATCAAGCCAGTTATTATATCTATTTTAGACTTTAATTATTATATTACTTTAATAATAAATCTTAGTAAATCAGACTATCTTCTATATCAGGAAATTATAAATCAATTTAATTATTAATTTAAGAAATAAAAGGAAATCATTTCTGGACTAGCCTCTTTGAGTTTATTAATAACTTCCCTCATACGGGACTGGTTGGTGGGGGCAACCCTCTTCTTTAGGGCTTGCAAAATTTGGTGACCAAATCCAGATTTGCCTGAGGAACCCAACTATCCTATCAAGCCAGTTGCTATGTCTATTTCAGACTTTAATTATTATACTACTTTAATAGTAGATCTTAGTGAATTAGATTATCTTTTATATCAGAAAATTATAAATTAATTTAATTATTAATTTAAGAAATAGAAGAAAATCATCTCTGAACTAGTCTCTTTGAGTTTATTAATAAATTCTATATTAAGCAAGTAAAATCAACACATTATACTTAATTTAGAAAGATTTTATTAAATTTTATAAGTTTTAAAAAAGAGAATTATCTCTATTAATTAGTTCTGTATAAAAAAAGTTATTAATAAATATTATAAGCTATAATTCTTAGGAATAAAGAATTTTATTAAGAATTATATAACTTAATAAGAGCTTGTTTATTTAGAAGCAGTAAAGCTAAAATTAAGTAAGATTACTAGTTTTATTTAAATAATTTATAATTTTCTTAAATTAGTTCAGAAAATAATAGATAATTTTATAATAATTTAATAATTAAAATTAATTAATAATAAAAATAATCAGAAAGAATTATCTGAGTTTCTTAAGATAATATAAAAAATATATAATTAGATTTATCTAAATTCTTAAATTAGATAATTTATTAAATTAATTAATAATAATAGTGATAGAATCAGCTATATCTTTTTTTAAGATTTTTTAAATAATTTTAAATTAACTATTTCAATAACTGTTTTAATAACTAAGTTAAAATAAACTTTTTAAAATAATAAAATATTAATAAAAAAATAAAGATTTAAGAATCGGCCCTGTCTATATAAATTAGATAAAAATAATAGATTTTATAATTTTAATAATTATTTCTATATTAATAAGAAACTAAGAGATTCTGAATAGAAGTCTGAGATCAAAATCTTAAACTATTTTAGAAATATTTTTAGAAATAATTCTAAATTAAGATATTTCTTTGAATAATACTGTCAGGCTTATCAAATACTATCTTTATTTAATAAAAATAATAAAATAACTGATAAAGCAGAAAAGATCTTTTTAGTAATAAGTTAATAAATTATCTATTTAAAATAATTATTAATATTTTATTTATTTTAATAAGCTTTTAATACTGCTTTAGATAGCTATATCTATAATTTCTTAAATTTTTTTATTAATTATATTTTTATTATAAATAAAAGTAGATTAATAAAAGTAAAAGATACTGTCTTAGTTATTTAAGACTATAAAATAATTATTTTTTACTTTACTTGCCCAAATAAGAAAGATCTATATTTTAAACTTAAAGAAGTGATTTATATTTTTTAATTTTATATAAATATTCTCTCAGCTGCAAAAGCTAATAAAAAGAAACTATTTTTAAATAAAAAAAATAGATTTCTTAAACAAGCAGATAGAACTCTATTATATTAAATTAAGAAAATTAAAAAAATATACTATATTTAATAAAAATAAAAATCTAGTTTTGCTATAATTATTACTATTAAATCAAGCCAGTTGACTATTAAGATAAGTCAGTTAGCTATTTTAGACTTGCCAGTTCGCGGTTTTAAGCTAATTAAACTCTTAGAATATTAATATATAATATCTGAAACAGCTAAAGAATAGTATAAAAGATTAGAATATTCTGATAAAAAAATTCTAAATTATCTAAGTAATTTAGTTCAGAGAATTAATATTATTAATTTATTAAAATAGACTAGCTTAGATAAGCTAAATCAAAATAAAAAGTGCTTTATATATAAAATTAGTTAATTAGAAAGATAAATTTTAAAATAAAAATTTAAGAAAGAAAGTCAGATATTTAAATTAATTTATTAAAACTTGATTTATATAGTAAATAAAATTAATAAATAAAGATATATTAGCTATTTTTATTATTTCTATTTAAAATTTTATTTAGAGCAAGTTCTAACTTTCAAATCAGATATTTCAGAATTAATTATTAATATAATTTAATTAATTATTAATTAGTTTAAGATAATATTTAAGAGATTTTATTCTGATTAGAATTAGAATCTTAATATTTTTTTAATCTGGACTAGTATTAAAGATTTATTAATTAGTTATTTATTAGTTTATCAGTCAGAGCAAAATCTATATATAGAAAGATTTAAAGCTCTAATTATTTTTAAAATAAGAAGTTTATTAATTAATTTAGAGCTTTTTATATTTTTATAATCTAAAATAATAGATTTAACTATTTTTATTCTAAATAGAATATTAAATAAATAACTAAATTAGAAAATATTATATAAAACTATCTAAAAAAGTCTTTTATAGTTATCTAAAAAATTAGATATTTTCTGTTTAAGAAAATATAAATTATATATTTATATTTAAATCAGTAATTTATTTAAGAAAAATAAACTAGGATTCAGAGCTTTAATTAATTATCTAATTAATTATCAGATAACTAATATTTAATAGATCTGGATATCTATTTTTAAAAAAATAATTTTAATTTGTGATATTATTTTTAATAAAAATTTTAATTATAAATAATATACTGAATTAGGAAATCTATTAATAAAGTAAGAAATAATTAAATTAGTTAATTCTATTTAGTTAGAATAATCAGATATCTCTATTTCTGAAGAATCTGAAGAATCTGATATAAATAAGAATTTTTTTAATTTAGAAATATTAAAATATAAGAACTTTTCTTAAGAAGTAAGAACTTTTCTTAAGAAGACTTTATTGAACTTTCACTTTCTTATATAAATTAGGTGCAAAAGTGAGGTGAAAGTGAGAGAAAGATAAGAGAAGTAAAAAATAAGAAAAATCAAAGATCAGATAATTAAGTAAGAACTTTTCTCTAATCTCTTAGAAAGACTTCACTGAACTCTCACTTTCTTATATAAATTAGATATAAAAGTGAGATGAAAATAAGATAAAAATAAAAGAAAGATAAGAGAAAGATAAAAGAAATAATAAAAAAAATCAAAAATTAGATAAATAAAAAAAAGATTAAAAACTAATTCAACTTGATTAAAACTTGTTAAAAAACTAATTAAAAACTGAGAAATCTTTTTTGTTTGTATTTATAGCTAATTGGCTATCAAAAGCACATAAAAATATATAAAATTATATAAAAATTATATAAAAATTATATAAAAATTATATAAAAATCATATAAATAAAACAGGGCCGAGAACAATAGAACCAGTAATTAAATAAAGACTAGAATAATTAATAAAAGTAAGATCTCTTGCTTCGCTGTGAGATAGATAAAACTTGAAATCATCAGTCTACTAATTAGTAATCTAAGACAGCCAACTGGTCTGAGACCGCAAACTGGCGAGTCTTAGACAGTTAACTGGCGGGTCTTAGACAGCAAACTGGCCAGTCTGTTTATATTATTAATATATCCCCGCAGTTTTAATAAAATAAAATATTAAAAAAAACTAGAGTAAATAAATTGCTAAAAATAGAAAATAATAATAATAGAATTCAATAAATTATTATATTTAACTATTTAATAAATTAAGTATATTTCTGATTAAGAAACTGCTTAGTCAGGCCATCTGCTTATATTTTATTAATAGATATTTATTAAATATTAATTATTTTATTCAGGGCTTCTTGTCTTAGCTAATAATTAATAATATTAATATATTTTAGATTAGTCCAAAATAGAAAATTCTTATTAGTAAGAATTTTAACTGTTTGATAGTTGTTAGATAATATAGAGAATTATTAATTAGAATTAAATCCTATTTATTTAAAAAATCTTCTTTATTAAAGAAATTACTTAATTATAGTAGTTAGGGCTAATAATTCAGCTTTAATAATTAAAAGAGTTATATAATACTGTTTCTTACTTAGTTAATTAATAAAGCTATTAAATAAATAAACAATATATCTTATTGAGTTAGTATAATCTTGATTATTAATAAAACTAGTATTACTAGCTATATAAAATAAAATAGACCTAGAACTAAATTTAATAGTCAAGTTCTTTATTTCTTTTAAATAGAAGATTAAATAATTCACAGCCCTGAGATATTTAGAACTTAGATTAGTCAGATATTCTGAAATTAACTAATATAATTTAATAATATTAGATCTAGTCTAAACTGCAGAATATAGAGCTGACTCTACTTTCTACTGAAATTTATAAATTTAATTAGTAATAATCTGATAAAGTAGATTCTTTACTAATTTTTTACTTAAAAATAGAGATTTAGAGCTTTTTCTTTGCTCTAAATTAAATTTATTAATAATCTTATTAATATAGTTTGATTATTAAATCTATAACTTCCTATTTAGGCGATTATATAAAATTTAAATATTAAGAAATAAATTAATCTTTTTAAGATCTTTAAATTTAAATAATATTATTAATTCTTACTTGAATTTATTAAATTTTTAATAATTTAATTTATGAAATATATAAATTATATTATTTATAAAAATTATTAAAATTATAAATTTATTAATAAAAATATATTAATTTTTCTGAATAAACTTAAGCTCTAGAGCTATTAGTCTCTGTTTTAGAATATTTTACTAAAGAAATAATAAATATCTTAATTTATATAGAGCTTTTTATAATAAAAAAATTATTTATTTATTTTCTAATTCAGAAATTAAATTTATATAGATTTTCTTTTTAATAAAATTATTAAAAAAGACAGTAATTATATTCAGTTAATTGATTTCTAGATTAAATACAGTAATTAAAACTAAAAGAATTTATATAAATCTGGTTGCAAGAGTATTAATATATGTTTTTAATTAATTAGATATCTGTAAATCGCCTTTAATATAAATTTAGGCTTTAAAATTAGTTAGATAATCAGTTTTATTAAATTTATATAAAAATATTTATTTTAATAATAATACTTCAGCTTTATTAGTTTTATAAATTAAATATATATTTTAAGTATTTAGAGCTTTTAATTAATTAATTTCAGTTTTGGCAGTCTGAGTAAATTAGTTTAAAAATATATAATTTCTTATTTCTTATTAGTTAATAGGCGGAGGTGAAAGTAATAAGAAATTAATATAAAAAATTTTATTCTTATTAATATAATTAATTATTATTTAAATAACTTAAAGAGTAAGCCTAGTTCTTTTAAAATTAAAATTAGATAATTCTGAGCGGGTTTATTTCAGATCTCTGATTAATTTAATATTTAAGAACTTAATTTTATTAATCAGCTTATTAATATTTAAATTATTAATAAGAATCTGAGGCGGTGAAGAAGATAAATTAAATAATAAAAATAATAAATCCTCTATAATTATATTATTATTTTATAAGATATTTAACTAATTACTTAAGACTGTCAACTGACTTGGTTTGGCAGCTAACTAATCTAAGATTATTAATTAATCTTATTTTAATTAATTATCTGATAAAGATTCAGGTATTTGTTTTAATATTTCTGAATTAGAAAGATTCTTATCTATATCAGATTCTTCAGATTCTTTAGAAATAGAGATATTTGATTATTCTAACTAAATAGAATTAATTAATTTAATTATTTCTTGCTTTATTAATAGATTTTCTAATTTAGTATATTATTTATAATTAAAATTTTTATTAAAAATAATATCACAAGCTAAAATTACTTTTTTAAGAATAGATATTCAGATCTGTCAAATATTAATTATCTAATAATTAATCAGATAATTAATTAGAACTCTAAATCCTAATTTATTTTCTTTGAACAAGTTGCTAATTTAAATATAAATATATAATTTATACTTTCTTAAACAGAAAATATCTGATTTCTTAAATAACTATAAAAAACTTTTTTAGATAGTTTTATATAATATTTTCTAATTTAATTATCTATTTAGTATTCTGTTTAGAATAAAAATAGCCAAATCTATTATTTTAGACTATAAAAATATAGAAAGCCCTGAATTAATTAATAAACTTTTTATTTTAAAAATAATTAGAGCTCTAGATCTTTTTATATATAGATTTTGCTCTGACTAATAAACTAATAAATAATTAATCAGTAGATCTTTAATACTAGTTCAGATTAGAAAAATATTAAGATTCTGATTTTAATTAGAATAAAATCTCTTGGATATTACTTTAAACTAATTAATAATTAATTAAATTATATTAATAATTAATTCTGAAATATCTGATTTGAAAGTTAGGACTTGCTCTAAATAAAATTTTAAATAAAAATAATAAAAATAATTAATATATCTCTGTTTATTAATTTTATTTATTATATAAATTAAGTTTTAATAAATTAATTTAAATACCTGACTTTTTTTCTTAAATTTTTATCTTAAAATTTGTCTTTTTAATTAGCTAATTTTATATATAAAGTATTTTTTATTTTGATTTAGCTTATCTGAGCTAGTCTGTTTTAATAAATTAATAATATTAATTCTCTGAACTAAATTATTTAGATAATTTAGAACTTTTTTATCAGAATACTCTAATTTTTTATATTATTCTTTGATTATTTTAGATATTATATATTAATATTCTGAGAGTTTAATTAGCTTAAGACCATGAACTAATAAGTCTGAGATAGTTAACTGACTTGTCTTAATAATAATAATTATAGCAGAACTAGATTTTTATTCTTATTAAATATAGTATATTTCTTTGATTTTCTTAATTTAATATAATAGAGTTTTATCTGTTTATTTAAGAAATTTATCTTTCTTATTTAAAAATAGTCTTTTTTTATTAGCTTTTATAGCTGAGAGAATATTTATATAAAATTAAGAAATATAGATCACTTTTTTAAATTTAAAATATAAATCTTTTTTATTTAGATAAATAAGATAAAAAATAACTATTTTATAATCTTAAATAACTAAGATAGTATCTTCTATTCTTACTAATCTATTTTTATTTATAATAGAAGTATAATTAATAAAGAAATTTAAAAAATTATAGATATAATTATCTGAAGCAGTATTAAAAGTCTATTAAGATAAATAGAATATTAATAATTATTTTAAATAGATAGTTTATTAATTTATTATTAAGAAGATTTTTTCTGTCTTGACAGTTGCTTTATTATTCTTATTAAATAAAGATAATATTTGATAAATCTGATAGTATTATTCAAAGAAATATCTTAGTTTAGAACTATTTTTAAAAATATTTCTAAAGTAATTTAAGATTTTAATCTCAGGCTTTTATTCAGGATCTCTTAGTTTCTTATTAATATAGAAATAATAATTAAAATTATAAAATCTATTATTCTTATCTAATTTGCATAGACAGGATTGATTCTTAAATCTTTATTTTTTTATTAATATTTTATTATTTTAGAAAGTTTATTTTAACTTAGTTATTAAAACAGTTATTGAAACAGTTGATTTAGAATTATCTAAAAAATCTTAAAAAAAGATATAGCTGATTCTGTCACTGTTATTATTAATTAATTTAATAAATTATCTAATTTAAGAATTTAGGCAAATCTAATTATATACTTTTTATATTATTTTAAGAAACTCAGATAGTTTTTTCTGATTATTTTTATTATTAATTAATTTTAATTATTAAATTATTATAAAATTACTTATTATTTTCTAAACTGATTTAAAAAAGTTATAGATTATTTAAATAGAACTAGTAATCTTACTTAATTTTAGCTCTATTATTTCTAAATAAATAAGCTCTTATTAAATTATATAATTCTTAATAGAACTTTTTATTTCTGAGAATTGCAGCTTATAATATTTATTAATAACTTTTTTTATATAAGATTAATTAATAGAAATAATCCTTTTCTTTAGAGCTTATAAAATTTAATAAGATCTTTCTAAATTAAATATAGTATACTGATTTTGCTTGCTTAATATAAAATTTATTAATAAACTCAAAGAGACTAGTTCAGAGATGATTTTCTTTTATTTCTTAAATTAATAATTAAATTAATTTATAATTTCTTGATATAGAAGATAGTCTGATTTACTAAGATTTATTATTAAAGTAATATAATAATTAAAGCCTAAAATAGATATAGTAACTGACTTAATAAAATAATTAGATTTCTCAGGCAAATCTGGATTTATATATTCCTAGATACTCTTATTAATAATAAATAATTAAATTTGATTAATCCAAAGAAATTAATCAGATTAATTATTAAGAATAATAGAAATTTTCTTAAATTACTGATTTTAAAATATAATAAAGAAATAGTTAAAAAAATTTAAAAATTTAAATAAGTCTTATTTTTTATTTAAAAATTCTATAATTTCTTATATAAATTTTAAGTTAGAGATAAAATAAAAATAAGAGAAATAAAAAAATATAAAAAATCTCAGAAATATTAATAAAAAATTAATATAAGAATATAATCAGGCTTATAACTAAGAACTTTTCTTAAGAAGTAAGAACTTTTCTTAAGAAGACTTTATTAAATTTTTATTTTCTTATATAAATTAGATACAAAAGTAAGATAAAAATAAAAAAAAAATAAGAAAAATAAAAAATAAAAAAAATTAAAAATCAGATAATTAAATAAAAATTTTTTTTTAATCTCTCAGAAAGACTTTACTGAACTCTTACTTTCTTATATAAATTAGATATAAAAGTAAGATAAAAGTAAGATAAAGATAAAAAAAAGATAAGAGAAAGATAAAAGAAATAATAAAAAAAATTAAAGATTAGATAAATAAGAAAGAGACTAAAAACTAATTCAACTTGATTAAAATTTATTAAAAAACTGATTAAAAACTGAGAGATTTTTTTTATTTATATTTATAGCCAATTGGCTATCAAAAGTATATAAAAACACATAAAATCATATAAAAATCATATAAAAATTATATAAAAATTATATAAAAATTATATAAATAGAACAAGACCGAGAACAATAGAATTAGTGATTAAATAAAGACTAGAATAATTAATAAAAGTAAGATCTCTTACTTCGCTGCGGGATAGGCAGAACTTGGAATTATTAGTCTGCCAACTGGTGGCCTAAGACAGCCAACTGGCCTGAGGCCGCAAACTGGCGAGCCTTAGGCAGCCAACTGGCGGGCCTTAGGCAGCGAACTGGCCAGTCTGCCCATATTGTTGACAAAATAAATATCTGAATCTTTATTAGATAATTAATTAAAATAAGATTAGTTAATAATCTCAGATTAGTTGACTGTTGAATTAAGCCAGTTGATAGTCTTAAGTAATTAGTTAAATATCTTAGTTAGATAAGATGATAATATAATTATAAGAGATTTATTATTTTTATTATCTGACTTATCTTCTTCACCGCCTCAGATTCTTATTAATAATTTAAATATTAATAAGCTGATTAATAAAACTAAATTCTTAGATATTAAATTAATTAGAGATCTAAAATAAATTTGCTCAGAATTATCTAATTCTGATTTTAAAAAGACTAGGCTTACTCTTTAAGTTATTTAAATAATAATTAATTATATTAATAAGAATAAAATTTTTTATATTAATTTCTTATTACTTCTATCTCTGTCTATTAACTGGCAAGAAATAAGAAATTATATATTTTTAAACTAATTTACTCAGACTGTCAAAACTGAAATCAATTAATTAAAAGTTTTAAATATTTAAAATATATATTTAATTTATAAAACTAATAAAGCTGAAGTATTATTATTAAAATAGATATTTTTATATAAATTTAATAAAACTAATTATCTAACTAATTTTAAAATCTGAATTTATATTAGAAGCAATTTATAGATATTTAATTAATTAAAAATATATACTAGCACTCTTGCGGCCAGATTTATATAGATTTTTTTAATTTTAATTACTGTGTTTAATCTGAAAATTAATTAACTAGATATAATTATTATTTTTTTTAATAATTTTATTAAAAAGAAAATCTATATAAATCTAATTTCTAAATTAGAAAATAAATAAACAGTTTTTCTATTACAGAAAGCTCTATATAAATTAAGATATTTATTATTTCTTTAATAAAATATTCTAAAACAGAGATTAATAATTCTAGAGCTTAAGTCTATTCAGAAAGATTAATATATTTTTATTAATAAATTTATAATTTTGATGATTTTTGTGAATAATATAATTTATATATTTTATAAATTAAATTATTAAAAATTTAATAAATTTAAGTAAGAATTAATAATATTATTTAAATTTAAAGATCTTAAAGAGATTAATTTATTTCTTAATATTTAAATCTTATATAATCGCTCAAATAGAAAGTTATAGATTTAATAATTAAACTATATTAATAAGATTATTAATAAATTTAATTTAGAGTAAAGAAAAAGCTCTAAATCTTTATTTTTAAATAAGAAATTAGTAAAGAATTTACTTTATTAGACTATTATTAATTAAATTTATAAATTTTAGCAGAAAGTAGAATTAGTTCTATATTTTATAATTTAGACTAGGCCTGATATTATTAAATTATATTAATTAATTTTAGAATATCTAATTAATTCAAGCTTTAAATATCTCAGAGCTGTGAATTATTTAATATTTTATTTAGAAAAAATAAAAAACTTAACTATTAAATTTAGCCCTAGCTTTATTTTATTTTATATAATCAGTAATACTAGTTTTGCTAATAATCAAGATTATACTAGCTTAATAAGATATATTATTTATTTATTTAATAGCTCTATTAATTGACTAAGTAAGAAATAATATTATATAATTTTTTTAATTATTAAAGCTAAATTATTAGCTTTAATTACTATAGTTAAACAACTTCTTTAATAAAAAAGATTTTTTAATTAAATAGGATTTAATCCTAATTAATACTTCTCTATATTATATAATAACTATTAAACAGTTAAAATTCTTACTAATAAGAATTTTCTTTTTTAGACTAGTCTGAAATATATTAATATTACTAATTATTAATTAAGACAAGAAGCTCTGAATAAAATAATTAATATTTAATAAATATCTATTAATAAAATATAAGCAGATGGTCTGACTAAGCAGTTTCTTAATCAGAAATATATTTAATTTATTAAATAATTAAATATAATAATTTATTAAATTTTATTATTATTATTTTCTATTTTTAGTAATTTATTTACTTCAGTTTTTCTGATATTTTATCTTATTAAAACTATTAAAATATATTAATAATATAAGCAAACTTGTCAGTTTATTATCTAAGACTTATTAATTTATAATCTTAGATCAGTTGACTGTCTTAGACTATTAGTTAATAGACTAATAATTTTAAATTCTGTCTATCCCGCAGCAAAGTAAGAGATCTTATTTTTATTAATTATTTTAGTCTTTATTTAATTACTAATTCTATTATTCTCGGCCCTGTTCTATTTATATAATTTTTATATAATTTTTATATAATTTTATATATTTTTATATACTTTTAATAGTTAATTAATTATAAATATAAATAAAAAGATCTCTTAGTTTTTAATTAGTTTTTTAATAAGTTTTAATCAAGTTAAATTAGCTTTTAGTCTCTTTTTAATCTTTAATTTTTTTATTATTTTTTTTATCTTTTTCTTATCTTTCTTTTATCTTTATCTTACTTTTATCTTACTTTTATACTTAATTTATATAAGAAAGTAAGAGTTCAGTAAAGTCTTTCTAAGAGATTAAAAAAAAATTCTTACTTAATTATTTGATTTCTGATTCTTCTTATTTTTTTACTTCTCTTATCTTTCTCTCACTTTTATCTCACTTTTATATCAAATAGAGTGGCTTAACCTGACTGTTATACCTTAATCTTAATCTGGCCATAATCTAGTGATCAGATTAAGATATAAAAAATTTTTAATTATATAGTTAAGATTAGATTAAGATATAATTATTATTATAATTATTTATATCTACTAATCAGAAAGATTAGATATAGTAGATAGATTAATAATTATAGATTAATTTATAATATATATATTTTTTTTATATAGATAATATATAAAGTATAATATATATTTAATTATAGTATAAAAATAATAATATTCTTTAGATATAGTCTACTGCTTAATTTATTTAATTAATTATATTAAGAAATATATTATATTTTAGAAAAGACTTTTATAAAATCTAATATAGAAGAAATAAGAAAAAATATAAAATATTTATTTTTATACTATTTAAAATAATAATTATAATAATATAGAAATTATAAAGACCGGGTCTCTATCTTTATCTAAGTATATATAATAATTAAAGACTTAGATAAGACTAGTTTTTTTAATTTTAATAATAATTTATTCTTTAAATTATTTTTAAGATTATCTATATTTTTATTCTTACTAATATAAAAGATAGTAATTATCTTATTTTTCTTTTATTTCTTAAATATAAAAATAATTAAATCTGGATTAAGATTATTAAATATATCTTGATATTTTTTACTTATAATAAAATAATTAATATATATTTAAAATATAACTATTTTAATTATATCAGAATTAAGATAACTCTGATAATAATAATAGATATTTTAAGAATTATTAAAAAAATATTCAATACTAATATTATTAATTATAATCAAAAAAAAATCTCTAGCTATCTAATAAAAAATAGAAAATTAATTATAGTAAGACTTCTAATAAATAAGAATATTAATATATTTTATAGTATTTAAAATTATATTAATTTAATTAAAAATATTTTAAAAAGTTATATATTTTTAATATCTAGATATATCTTAAGTTTTTTATATATCTTAACTATAAATAAGAATCTCTAATATTTAAAAATATTATAAAAGATTTTATTCAGATCTGATAATAATTTAGAGATTATTAATAATATATTAATTATTAAATTTTAATTAAAATAAAAAGAGAATATCTTTTTAAAAATAATTTAATATTTATAATATCAGTTAATATTTTTATTTAGCTATATATCTTTCTTAAATTTTTTAAGCTTTAATATCAGATCTAGAATAATTATAATTATATAGATATAATCTTCTGTCTGATAAATATAATAATAATATTTTTAAAGCTTTTAATATATATTATACAAGCTTTTAAAAATCTTTTTTTTTTAAAATATCTGCTTTTTTTCTAGTCTGTTAATTAAGTAATTCAGATAATTAAAGAGATTATTATAGATATTATAAATTTTATAAATAATAGATTTATTATTCTTAAAGAGATAGAAAATAAAAAAAAAAAAAGATATAAAAATTTAAGAAAATATTTTATCTATTTTTATTTTATTATAATAAAATAAAGATAATTAATATTATTATATTTATAATACTAAATAAAACTTTTAATTATTTAACAGAGTTTAAGTATTTAATAAATTATAAAATAGATTAAGTTCCAGCAGATTTTATAATTAAAAAAAAGATAGTAGACTAAGTCAGATTTAAGTTATTAAATAAATAAAAACTTCTTATAATATTAAAAATTTATATTTATAAATTATATAATCTTCTGAATCTATAATTAAAAATTAGTATAATAAATTAATTAATAAAAGATTTCTAGAAGCTTTTTATAAAAAAAGATTTTATATTAGTTTTTTATAAATAGCTTTTAGAATATATTTTCTTAAGAATTCTTAAAATATTAAAAAAGATTTTAAGACTTTTATTATTATTCTTTTATATATATTTAATAATATTATTTAAGATCTTAATCTAAAGTTTTTATAAAAGAATATTAATTATAAGCTGAATTATATAAATAAAATAAAAAATATAATATTAACTTTAAATAATTTTTAAAAAATTAAAGTTAATTAGAATATTATAAAACTAAGTATTCTAACTAAATTAAATTTAGAGTTTAGCTAAGATTATATTAAATATTATATTATTATTACTAGTATTATTAATTATTATATCTAATAATTAATAGATAAGATTATATTTATATAAGACTAATAGAATAATTATAGCTAGATTCTTATTAATATAAGATTTAGATATTAATTAAAAGTCTAGTAAAATTTTATAATAATCTATATCTTCTATTAAAAAATATCTAGTTAAATTAAGAAATATTTTTTAATTAGAACTAATTTAATAGTTTATTATAATTAATATTTATCTAATATTCGGAAATTTTAATAGCAGCTGTATATATATTTTTTTAAATAATTT